ACAACGACTGCTTTCTTCTTCATCATCTCTGTAGAAAGACAACCAGGAGAAGTACAACAAGCTCCTCACACTCGAGTGGGTGCGCGCTGAGATCTTCCGCGGCCTCGACTCGCAGTCCACCGAGCCTCCCGTACGTCCCCTCACTGCCCCCCCCCCCAATCTGCCGTATCTACGTGGATGCAGCAACTCTGACTGTGCTCGTTTGTGCAGGATCTGTCGCACCTTCGGAAGCACACGCGCGAGGCTACGGCAGAGTTGGACAAGAGCTTCAACAAGTCCTTCGGCTCCCTCTTCCGTTCGGGATCCAAGCAGAGCTTCTTCTCCATGCAGGCACGCACCCTTCTTTTTGCGGTCCCCGACGTTCACCACATCCCCTGCGTACTGACTATCTGTGTTGATTTCTTCACCGCAGGTGCAAAGGTATGCGGATCTGTACACGGCGGACTACACCAACCTACTCAACTATCCCCTGTTCTACACCTTCTACGCTCCTCCCTTCTATCTCTCCCACGAGCGTGAGCATGTCCTCTTCTAAGCGCCCATTTGGCTCCCTGTAGTTCGGACGATTATGTTTCAATCAAAATGCGGACAGAAAAGATTTGTTTCGTATTTTCCACAAGAATCTCGCGCCCAATTATTTGTTCTCTGTTGCACGCAAGCAATCAACGATTCTACCATTTTGCTCAACGATTTCCTTTGCAAAACCAATCAAGGATGGAAGCGAGGAAGGGAGGGCGAGCCTACGTGAAGAAGCCTGAATCGGGTCTCGGATTCGGGAAGCCGAAAGCACAAAATTCCAATTCATCAGCGAAAGGCAACCAGGCGAAGAAGGGGCAAGGACCTCAGGCAGCAAGCAACGGAGGCACAAAGAAAGCCAATCCGAAGATTGAGGCCGCGAATGGTAACGGTTCTGCTTTGAAGAGGAGCAAGGACGCTCAGCCCCCTGTCGTCGAGAAGCTTCCCGTGGCACAAGCGGCAAAGGAGGAAGAGCAGGAAGAAGAAGAAGAGGCGTCGTGCCTCATCTGCTGCGAACCTATCGACTACTTCTCCGTAGGCGAATGCGAGCATCGATTCGTTTGTTCACAATGCACGCTCCGCCGTCGCGGCCTCTACAAGGAAATGCACTGCTGCATCTGCAAGGTACGACCAATTCATTTCCCCCTTAGGTGGCTCTGGAAGAGATGCCTGATCTCTTGCCGCTCTGCGGGGGTTGCTTCTGCAGCAAGACCTCGAGAAGACCATCTTCTCGCGCAGCAGCACCAAGCCCTTCCGGTCGCTGAAGCTCTCGGGCATGTTCTTCGACGAGACGAGCAAGTGCTACTTCGAGGACCAGTCCCACTTCGAGCAGGCGCAGAAGCTGTGGAAGTTTGCCTGTCCCGTGTGCGACAAGGAGTGTGAGCACCCGCTCGCGTCGCTCTCCAACCTCAAGAAGCATCTCAAGACTCATCACATGTCCTACTGGTACGTACGCGGGCACTCTCGAGCAACCCGGAGCGATGCGTGCGCTGGCTCTCTTGCTTACCTCGTCTCCATGGTGGCAGCGATCTGTGCCTGCAGCACAGGAAGATCTTCCTGAAGGAGCACAAGGTATACACGGCCGCCGCGTTGGAGAAGCACGAGTTCGGCGAGGGCGAGAAGGAGCTGGACCAGCACCAATGGTGTGAGTTCTGCACTCGTCTCTTCTTCGACAAGGTACACACCGCCTCCGCTCTGAGTGAGCAGGCACCGAGGGCCAACATTCGCACACCTATGCGCGACAGGACGACATCTTCCAGCATCTTATGAAGGAACACTTCACTTGCCACCTCTGCGAGAGGAACGGCATCAAGTACCACTACTTCAAGGACTATCGGTCACTGGAGCGACATTTCAGGCGACAGCACTTCATCTGCGAAGACAAGGGGTGCCTCGAGAAGAAGTTCATCGTTTTTGGCACCGCACTCGACCTGAGGGTACGCCCACACAGTATACTTTCTCGCCGGGCTTGAAGACACCGTACACTGTCGGCCTGTTTCCTCATCACTGCTTTGTCTGCGTTCAATGACAGGCCCACGACCTCAAGTTCCACATGCAAGAGCGTGGCCTCACCCGAGCGGAGATGAAGCAGGCCCAACGACTGGATATCGATCTCTTCTACGAGAAGCCACCCGCGGCTGAGCGGAAGTCGCGCGGGCGAGAGGATCCTGTGGTGGTCTTCAATCCCATGCTCTCCCATCCCCCTCCCCGTGCTCCCGCAGATGGTCTCGGCCCCACACCCGCTGCCGCAGCTGCAGCTGCTGGTACGGCTCACTATTTTCCGTCTCTATGTCAGTGTCCGGGTCGATACTTACGTCGTATCTCTCTTCGCTGGTCTTCAGCAACTGCGCACACCGAGTCGAACGCGCGCAACCGAGCGGAACAACCAAGGCCGAAGTACGTGAAGAAAGAGCAGCAGGCCGCCGACGCCGGCAAGACCGAGGACGGCGAGAAGGAGGCGGCCGAGAAAGCCACCACGCCGACCGTCCAGTTCCCGCCGGAGCCGACGAACGAGGAGGAGAGGCGCGCGAGGAATGCTGCGCTGGTAATCAAGATCAGGAGCGCCATCGGCGAGGCCGAGTTCCCAACTTCAAGCAGATCTCGGTGGATCTGCGGCAGGCGCGCCTCACCCCGGCGCAGTACTACCAGAAGTACCTTCGTCTCTTTGGCCTGTACCATGGGCCGGTGCTCTTCCCCGAGCTGGTCTCCCTGCTGCCCGACCCTGTGCTGCGATCGCAGCTTACCACCATCCACCGACAAGCCGTGGCCCAGGGCCAGGTCGAAGCCAACCCCAAACCGGAACCGCCCAAGCCACAAGAACCGCCATCCCAGTCGCGTGAGGTACGCCCCGCTCTCGCCACACACACACACACCACTCGACTGCCGACCTGATGATTCTTGGTCCCGTCTGCAGGCGCCTCATGCGGCGCCGGTTGCGCGAGTGCCGAGCTCGAATGGACCGGGGCGAGGGGAGAGAGAAGGCGGCAAGCCTCCTCAGCCCACCGTGAGGCGGCCGGACGGCGCCTGGGGCACCGGGCCGCCCCTCCGCGCAGGAGGAAGGGGCGGACGGATGACATCCGAGGACTTCCCGTCGCTGCCCCCCTCCAACTACATTGACGAGGACGCCGAGCTGGCCCGATTGCTGCAGGACAAGATCAACCAGCAGTCCCAAACGTAAGTCCCACACGCCATGCCCCTTGATATCTGTCGCGTTGAAAACACTAATCCTGTGTTGTCGTGCGTGTCGTGTCGTGTTCGTGCGGATGTGTGTGCACAGCCAAAAGGGAAAGAAGAAGTCGAAGAAGGGCCAGGTCCTGCTGCGCTTCGGGTAACGGCGGGCGTGGGGGACAGCGCGCAGCCCTGGTCCCTCTTGTCTTCCGCGTGCGCGGCCTCGCTCGTCGGTCCCTTTCCCCTTCCCCTCGCCACTATTTATTATTTCTTCGATTTTTGTGTCGCAATAGAAGACTCCACCATCCTATCATCTCCACTTCTCCTTCGGCCGAGGCGAGACCACAACCTCCCCCGGATCTTGCATCGTCTGGCGGTAAGGGCAAAGAAAGAGACGACACGTGTGTGTTCGACCAATCACGAGGCGAGGGCGATTAAAAATTCAACCAATCAGCAACGGGTACGAACAGCGACCGTACGAAGGCGAAAGAAACTCCGAGAAATTCCACGGGTCCGCACAGCGCCACCGTGGCGCACTTGACCACTTGGTCATAAAAACCCACCCAGCCGACCCGTCAACATCATAACCAACAACCACCTCAGCCTCCTCTACAGCAGGACACACACACACCTCAACAAACACATCAACACATCAACACAGCACAATGGCGACGAAGGACATGAAGCAAGCGGCGCAGGAGAGGTTCAACGAGTACAGGGACAACGTGGTCGAGATGACGGACAAGTTCGTGGGCGAGATGGAGGGCCGCGCGGCGAGCGTGAAGAAGAGCGTCAGCGAGGCCGTGGCCCACCCCTACGACACGATCGACCAGGCGCGCGACGGGCTCGACGCCACCGTGGCCCAGACGCGCGACCGGGTCGAGACCGAGGCCTCGATCGTGGTGGGCTACAAGGACCAGTTCCTGGGTGCCGTCAAGGAGGCCTTCGGCCGCGTGCTCAAGGACCAGGAGCTGACCCGCGCCGGCCAGGAGCAGAAGCTCAAGGGCGAGGCCGAGGTAGCGCTGCAGAAGGCGCTGGGCGAAGAGAAGCGCCAGCAGAAGATGAGGGAGGCGATCGTCGAGACGCTGATGAGGCGCGAGGCGGTGCTGGCCCAGCTCGCGCAGCAGGACGGCTATGACCAGCTCGCCGCCGCGGGCAAGCTGCGCCACGTTGAGCTGCGCGAGCGCGACCCGGCCGACATCTTCATCGCCGTGGGCGGCAAGACCACCTTCGCGCTCAAGCGCTACAGCAAGGCACAGCTGCTCGACGACATCCGCCACCGCCGCACCCGCAAGCCGATGCTCTACGTCAACGTGCGCGAGCGCGGGCTCATGCGCTCCATTCCGCTGCAGAAGAAGGACCTCAAGTTCAAGGGCCGCATGCTCTACACGGACCTGTGGGCCGCCATCCGCCGCAGCGACCCGCTGCGGCTGCACCACGTCGAGCGCGCGCTGATCCGCGACCGCTCGCAGCCGCGCGTCGGTCTCCTCCGCAGCCTGGCCGGCGTCGAGACCCAGCGCGGCCGCGTGCTCGAGGAGGTGAAGTCCTCCCAGAGGCCCGGCCTGGTCCACACCGAGACCGACGACAAGACCAAGGTCCTCCTGGCCGAACAGAAGAGGAAGCTCGACAAGGGCAAGGAGAAGGACAACGGCGCCGGCGTGTTCCGAGCGCCGCTCGAGTTGCTCTCCCAGGGCACCAACTATTAGGTCTCACCCACACG